AAGGGCTATAAAACTAAACACATATTTCCAAAGTTTTTCAGTGCACATAAGCTTCAGAAGGCTAAAATTATTGAAGTCAGACAAATCTGTTCTAATGAAAATCTGGCAGATTTGTTCATCAAATCTTTACCAAAATGCACGTTTCAGAAGTTAGTGCAAAGTATCGGATTACGTCGACTTGCCAAATAACTAAATTTGGAGAATGTAGAATCAGGGGAAAATATATATAAGGGGAAGTATCCATGATATATGCATATTGTACCATTTTTCCTTTGATTCAGATTTTTCCCACTGGGTTTTTTCCTATCAAGGTTTTAACGAGGCAACATAAGCATACTTAACACTATATCAACAATCCAGAAAAAGTTGTACTCTTTTTCCTTCATTATGGTTTTTCCCACTGGGTTTTTCCAAGCAAGGTTTTAACAAGGCAACTGATGTTGGTATGTGGGCATCCAAGTGAGAGTGTTGAAAACTTTGGCATTATTATGAATGCCCACACACACACACACACACACACACACATTTTTAATGCCCATACATATTGAAATTGACTTTGGGGATGCAGGAGATCATATTTTCCAAAGGGGTGCTGTAAATTTTCAATGTATAATTAATGCATCAGTATTGGAGTTGCTCTATAAATAGAGCAATCCGTATGCTTTCAAAAACACAGACAGTAAGAAAGAAAGATCAATAACATCATCTATTCCTCCGTCTTTTATTTGTTATCATCTTGTGCTATAGTTTTAGTGTGACATTTTACACCTACTTTGCTTCATTCACTAAAAAGGTTATCTCTCTAACTTTTACATATTTATAACAAACATCCTATTGTAGAAAAATATTTTTTCAATTACAATAAAAAGAAATATAATTTCAAAATGAAAAAAAAAAAAAAATTAAACAAACACACCATGTCATCCGCCTTGTCCTTGACTTGACCTCCAACTCTAGCCACAAACGCTTGTAACTCAACAAACATGTCTCTAGATCCATCTCGACCTTACCTAGCTATCATTATAGCCCAAGAAAATTAACCTCGACCACCTCGCCCTTGATTGTTAATTGAGTAATAGACCGCAATTTAGAGAGTCATATATTACCCTTTCTCTTTATTTAAATATAAATTTACATAAAAATGCAAATAAATAAGAATTAACACATATAGCAGAGTAAACTTTCAACCTGAAAAATTATTAAGATTGTGACATAGAAAAGAAGGGGGGTGTTTGAAGAAAATTGGGAGATGAAAGAACGATGGGGAAGAGGTTAGGAAGTTGGGAGGAGGTCGAGGAGTTGGAAGGAGGTTGAGGAGTTGGATGAAGTGTTCTTAATTGGCTTACAGAGATAAAAACGAGAACCAAATTGGCCAAATTAAAAACACAGAGACTAAATTGCCCAAGTGGCTATAACATTGAGGCTATTTTGACATTTAAGCCTTTTTTTTATTGTAAGCATTTAAGTTATCTCCAACTAAATGAGGGTCAAATGGCTCTCTTTAGCCCTATAGCCCTCCAAGAAATTAATATTTTTATGAACAATGGCATGCCATATTTCTTACCATCTCCAATCGAGGGGGCCAAAGGGCCATAGGCTAAACATAGTCCTGTGACAAAAAATCATCTCCAACCGAGGAAGCCAAAGGGCAATAGGCCAAACATAATTTATTATTTTAATTGAATTAATATGGTTGCTTAAATTAAACTACCTTGATAATTTTTCGAGATGTAATCTCAATAATTTTTTAGATAGGATTTTAAGTGACACGTGTCGCTAAAGTGAGTAATTCTCCAGATTTCTTGTCGATATGGAATCTCAATTGTAAAACCCCTCCCCAAATTCTTTGTAAATATTGGTGAAATGACAATTTTACCCCTGAAATCCTACCCTATCCAGATCCATTTTCAAAGTTCTCTCATCTCTAACTCATCCCTATCTCTCTCTCACACTCTCTCGGACTTTCTCCCTCTTCTTTTCCCGGCGACACCCAACCACCCAATGACCGCACCACCACCACCACCCTCGTGATGACCTTTCCTCCCTCTCCATCGTCTCTGTGAAGCTCCGGGGCACCTAGAGGACACCCAACCGAGGTTCGGCGAGCCCGCGAGTCTCGAGCAAAGATTTGGCCACCATTCGATGTTATCAAGGTACGAAATCCCTTCCCTTCTTCCGTACCTTCTTTTTGGTAGTTAAATCGTAGGGCTTAATGGTCAAACGACGACGACCGAAGCTCGGGAGGCTCCAGCCTTTTTCCCCGGCGAGAAACAAGCCAACTAAACCCAACCCATGGAGCCCAAACCCTTCGAAAGTCCAAAACCAAAACCCTTGTTAGTTTAGTCCTTTGGGTGGTATAGGACTCGGGCCTTAGGCCCGTTAACCCCAAATCCAAACCCATTTAGTTTTTATTTATTTTATTTTTAAAAACCCAAAGGCACTTGGGCTGGGCTCTCAATCATGGTACTATTTATTTTACCCTTTATTTTGTCTTTATCGTTAAAACTCAAAGTTTTCAAACCCTTTTTATTTGTTTTCCTAAAATTATATACACTGATACGATTTAGAAATTAGAATTTCATGGTGTAATGTCCGGGGTGAAGTGTAGTTAGTTCAAGAAAATTAATAGAAAATTAACGTTTCAACGTATATACACGTAGTTTTTTTTTTTTTTTGATGAAAAGAAAAGTTACAAGGAAAAGGTCACGAGGGCAAAAAGAACTAGCAAAGTCCCACAAATTAGAAGAAGAATGTCTAATAGAAGCCAAGGCATCAACAATAAAATTAGCTTTCTGAAAATGTGACGAAACGAAATACACTGAAATCTGCACACCAACTTCTTTTTAATTGCAAGTAATTTAAGTTTTATGAGGCCTCAAATGCACCAAAATATCCAACGAATAACTTGAATACAATCGAACACCACATCAGTAGTATCCCATATCTATCATGCATCGTTTTGTGTTTTATCCTTCTTATCCAGCATTGTGTAATTGAGTTGGATAACATCACCTTCGCATCCCAGATTTCCAATCACAAGTAACCTTGACATCCCTTTACATGTGAGTCTTCGTGCCGCCGCAAGGCAGAGTACCTAGACGGTATGGCGTAGCGAATGTGCTAATAGCAGCCAATTGGTGAAAAGTCTGGATATCTCAAAAGAGGCACTTCATGATTTCTACACGCTTATTTTCTTGTGAACTCATGGTAGTAAATGGGAGAAAATGGGTGAGAAAAACTCTGATTAGAGGGACTAGAAAGCCACTGGGTTTAGAGATTATAGACAGTGAAAACAAACCTTTCTCATTTCTTCTTCCTCAAAAGGTTGTCTCCAACCACCTCTCATCAAGCCTTATCAATCCAAACCTTCAAATATTTAATTTCAAGATTCTTGTGAAATCTAATCAGTTAATTTCAATTAATCTTTCATCTTTTACAGTTGTCCTTGATGAGTCGATTTTATACTATATATTATTTCCTATTCTAGGTATGTTTTAGTGAGTTTCGATGTTTTGTTATTTATTTTTAATGTAGGACATGCGAAATTATTCTGAGCATAAAGTAATCAAACGGTGGAATTTTTTAGTGATTTCAATTGGAGCGGGTTCATGAATCTGTCAAGAATGTTGTATCAAAATTTCATAATTTTATCTTGAAGCGTCTGATCGTGGCGAATTAATTTATGCCCAGCGCTAGTGCTAACAGATTGGACTACAGAGCTTATTTGAGACTTTTGGGTTGGAAGATGATAGATTTTGGACTTGGGTTCTTCTTGGAACTTGAAGAGAAGGTTCTAATCTTTAATTCAAGTCGTTTTGGGCAGGTTTTGGAACTCTAAAGGTCCAGAAACGTGGCTATTTCTTTGCTGAGTAGATTTCCTAGTCAAATAGGAATGTAATTCCTATTTATCATTTTATTATTTTATTTCCTAGTTTTTTAGAAAACTTTTTTGATGAGGGTTTTAATTTGGAGTAGTATAAATAAGACTTTTTAGCCATTAGGGTTCTCGACGCAACATTGAGAGAACTTAGCAAAGCTTTGGAGAATTTCATATTTTTACCTACAAGGTGTTTTCAATTCCTTTTCTAGTTAATGATATTTTCTTTGATTTTTATTATGAGTATGCGTAACTAATTCCTTTTGCTAAGGTTACGCCATGAGCCTTAACATGAATATGTAATTTTATTAATTTCCTTATCAATGGATGCATGCTTGCTTTGAATTATTAATCACCGCGATTAAAACTATTTATATATTTTAATGATTGATTACCATTAGGATATTTAGATAAGCAATTTGATACAATTTTTGGTGGCACATCACCCTGAAATTGAGGAGGGCTTCTTGTGATTAGTAATTGTAAGTTCCCTTTAAGGCGAACATCATGCTCTTAAGGGTTGCATGGTTTTTCAAAGGATTTTCACAAAACTTAATGAGTTATGCGTATTTATATTTAATTTGAACATCACAGACGGATTGCATGTTAGATATATGTTTTCACTTAAACATCACGAGGAAAATATGCATTAAGAAAACATAACATTCAAAGCATGTATGTGAAAATTTATAAGTAATTGATAAAATTGCATAGGATTATTAACAGTGACTGCTAAACCCTAGTATTTCCCTTAATTGATTTTAATTTAAAAACGTTTCTCTTCTTGTTGCCATTATTTCCAAACTTCTAAATTTCTTTTATTGTTATTGTTAATTTAATCTTTTCAAATTCAAAAATCTCAAAACTTTGATAAAAATCGGTTTTTTAATTACAAATTAGTCAAACAATCTTTGAGAACAACGACCTTGCATAAGCAATTATACTACAATTACCTTGTATTCTTACAAATATTTTAAGTGATTTTAACCCTACTTGTGCAAGTACTAAAAATCATATTAGTGCTATCTCCCACTTCCTTGGCCCACATGATCTCTGCCTTCTGCCTCCACAATATCTATTTAACAAAGACATGGGATATCCAGCAAGGCACTAATTCAGAACATTAACAACACGCAAACAACTGATTTGATTATCTGCCATGAACTTGCAGCTTAACAAAAAGGGGTAAAATCTCATTACGTTTAGGGTACCATCACAAAACAGTAATAACAAGGATGTGTGTTGGACGTGCATCCTTACGTTTAGGGTACCATCTCATTACGTTTATGGCTACTAAATTGTTCACTCCTCGGCAAAATTTCAGTTAGTAAATCAGAACACAACAGACCTCGAACAGTAATGGTAAAGTTTGTACCAGCACCATACCCATGCTCCCCAAATTTATGCAGAAATAAGCCACGGGCTACTTCACATGTCGTTATCAATGATATCCCGCATCATCTGTAATGGGATGAGCCCTTCAGTACGTATGGCATCTTTACTTGAATCTGGACTTATAAATAACAATGTCGGCAATCCTCGTACCTGATCCAACGAGTTCAGTAAGTATTCGTTTGCCAATTATTTTTCCACTACGTTCAAACATCACTTAAAACTCCAAAACAATAGCGAAACAAATATACATAGATCTTCAAGCAGAGATATAAGAAAAATCCACCCAGTTTATCTACAATATTTATCATTGAGACTAGAGAAAAATCTCGTATAATGTAGAACTATTTTTCTATGAACAAATCTAGGTACAGACACGTAAATCTGTAAGGCTCATAAGGGTTTCAGACTTCAGAGCACCAAAGAAGATGAGAGAATAGAGAGAGTAAAACTATAGAGCAAAGTTAAATTAGAAGGCAATTACCTGCATGTCCCGTGCAAATTCGTACTCATCATCCGTGTCAACCTTTACAATTCTTACATTGCTCTCGTACTCCACAGCAAGCTGTTGTGAAAATTGAAAGTTTTTATCATTACTCACATGTTTGCAAACATTAGAAATCAGTACCGGTCAGGTACTTTTATTATGTATACTTGCTGTATGAAACTTTTACGACCCACGTCAAAAATGCAACTTAGGTGAACGCAAGATCTTAGAGAAAATAAAATTAACAAATTTAGATCCGAAGTGGATTACTCTACATCATCCAAAAATGTTTGAATCGCAAATCAAAAGGTCCACAAAATAAAAAAGCGACTTCAGTTCTGAAAGCATTTTGGTTTCCAATGGCTGATTATATAAAACAACAGATGGTCCATGATAATCAAATGGCATTGACACTTTACCGTGTTTGTATTCCAAAAGCAAATAAATGTGAGAATCATAGGAAGTAGTGATTAAATTATTAGCTGTTAGGGGGAGGGAGAGAGGAATCGGTGAAATTTGAACCCGTGCATAAGCCTGATTACTTCCTGCCACTGCGGTATAGCTACATTCAATTTCAAAAGAATTATGCGCATATGAATATTCTTATTTGGCTTTGTTCAGATACTGAGATGGATAATCATAGTTTCCTTTGGCTATCTGCTAGAAGTTTGACTCATCAGCCCATCGTCTATAGCTCATAAGATCAGTTATTTTCTCTCACGAGTTCTAGAATGAAGTGAACTACAAAGACAGCATCACTGCATACAGTATTTAGTTACCTGGATTTCCAAATCTTATAAAAAAATAACTGAAATATTGGGCTTACTATATTAAACTGTTCAAAATTATGTATATTGATTTAGTTATCCATTTTACTCTTGGCTTGCATAGATTTGAACCTGAGACTCAATAAGGAGACACGCTTACTAAATTTTTGGTGAAATAAGTGTCATGCTTAAATTCCGCATTGCAGGATTCACATAATATGTGATGAAATAAAGCTAATGCCTCTAGTTCATTTCATGAAATGTCATAGACAATACTTAGAGAAAAAGAGAACCATGTTATTCTTTCTATTTGAATGTCATCTCTTATCAAGTAAATTTGTTCTTCAACTGTGAACACAACAACATCAGAAATACTCCAATCCTTTGTCAACTTCACAACATCTGGTACATTAAATTAAAATCTTAAGGTAGCAATCATGGTGCATAGACTTCACTATGAACAAACCGTTTGTATGATAAAAACCACAAGAAGACTGCCTCCTTTGTTGAAACTGCTATCTAGGAAATATACTTGTACTTCACACTTATGCGTTGCAAACGTAGCATTCAACAGGAAAAGAAGCTAACAACACTAGAATAAAAGTACAGATCCCATCCAATAACCATCAAAAGCACATTCCTTTGAAGAATATTGTCATCCAATTAAACATGTAGGACAATGGAATTTTCTCCATTTACCACCTAATTAAAGAAGTGTACTTCTAAAGTTAAATTCAAACAATCAAATATCAAACAGCTATGAGGTTTTACAAAATAGTGGATCCTTTTATTATATTTCATGCTAGATAAAGATGCAGATATGTATGCAGAGTAGACACGCATATTTCGTGTAAAATGGTTTCAATCACCACAACACACATATAAGATTAGTTAGGAAGGTCTAGAAAGCTTCGTATTTCAGTTGCGTGAACTCTAATTTCTCCAACAAACAGTTTGAATCCATATAAAAGTAGTAATATTACGACATATAAACCATTAAAGCTTTAAACAAAAACCCCAGATATGAATAGAAAGCAGCATAACTAACACTGGTATGCATATGATAGAGCATACCATTTCAAGTTCTTGAGCCATCAATATACAGGGTCCACACCATGTTGCAAAGAAATCAACAATAATGGGTACATTTCTGTCTCCTTTTACCAGTTCCTGAACCTCCTCCGCCGACACCTTCTTCTGCCCTCTCAAAACAAAATTTAAATAAGCTCAAATTAATAATTCATGAGGTAACAAAAAGGAAAATACAAATGAAACTCCAAATCCCAAGTTGGTTTCCAAACAAAGCCAAATGAAAAGAAAATTTCCATGCTTTCCCATTTCCCAACCAGAAGTAAAGTTAAATGTCCTAGTTCTTCACTTTACTGCATTTTTCATACCTAACAGATAAATAATTTGGAAACGCAAACCAACCCATCAAACCATTACCACTTTTAAGGAGGAAAAACTCATGAATTAAAGAAAATATGACCAAGTTGTAATGGGTAATTAAAGTGCTAAAGTAAATAAGAATTTGCAGGAAGAACTTACCACAAGATAATCTTCTCTAACATGTTTACCACGAGGGGGTCTGCAAAGCAACTTTCTTTTCACTGTTAAGGGAGAAAAGAGTGAGTCTTGTTGGTGGGTTCTAATGGAGGAGAGAGAAAGAGGGAGGGAAGGCGGTGGGGGATGAAATGGTATGGCCATGGGAGAGTGGCTGTGGGTTTTGAAGCTAACGCCATGGCTGTGGATAGGAGGTGTTGTTTGTGTTTGGAAGAGAGCCATCTTTCTACAGAGCTCAAAGAGTAATCCTTTCTACACTATTTGAACTCTAGTGGACAAACAAGAAACTGTTCTGTTTTAAATACGGTTACTGGGCTGACTTGGGTTGGAGTTGCTGGAGGACTATGAAGTTAACCAAGCCCATGCAAAAAGAAAATAGTAGCCACCTATAATCAAAGTTCTAATATACGTTAAGCGCTAGTTGGGTGGTGAGTTGAGGCTTAGCGACTAAGCGGCTAGACAGGGTCGCGGATTTAATTAAATCTATTATATGTTGTGTAAATAAGTGTCTATTTATACTTAAAATATATATAATTTCATCATAAACTACAAAATAGAATGATATATATATATATATATATATATATATTATGAGCTATTGGACCATAATAAAATATGGGAAACAAATATATAATGTGTGTTCATTTAAGTATTCAACAAGTCTCTTATAATTTATTGAAAAAAATAAAATGCAAAATGAAAGTTATCTATTTTCTGTCTAAGTGAGTCACAACCTAGGCAGGCTAGGCGGGTGACTCAGTAGGTTTAGGTGCTCTTTCTTAATTTTCTAACGCCTAGGCATTAATCGGGACGGTGACTAGTGTGACATCCCACATCGCCCATGGGTGATCCTTATATGTATATTCCCATCCTTACCTAGCACGAGGCCTTTTGGGAGATCACTGGTTTCGGGTTCCATTGGAACTCCGAAGTTAAGCGAGTAGCGCGCGAGACCATTCCCAGGATGGGTGACCCATCGGGAAGTTCTCGTGTAAGTTCCCAGAAACAAAGCCGTGAGGGCGTGGTCGGGGAGGTACGCCTAGACGATGCTAGAAAAGGATTTTTAGAACAGTGCCTATAATTCCATCTTAATCCTACTATAATGGAAATGATCACCTGCTATTAGATTGAGATTGAATGATGAGTTACTAATATGATATTTAGGAGAACAAGCATGTATTTACTTCTACAATATGTTTACTTTCCATCAATCTAATTCCTGATTTTTTTAAATATTGAATTATCGATTTTAATATTTTTTGTCAATCATAATAAGTTTCATTAACATAAAGCACTAAATAGAGGATGAAACTAACCTCAGAGGGTGGATGAGAGGTTGCCAACGACCCCAATCATAAATAGAGGATGATGACTAAACCTCAAAAATATTTTAACTCTATGTGTGTTAATAAACGCTTCAACAATTATGAATCCAAAATAATAAACAGGAAATTTCCATCATTCTAATTTTCATTCCAAATAAATAAGGGAGTGATTATCACACACATTTTTTAGCTCCTCGCATATTCTTCTTTATTTATAGTCATTGTGTGACAGCCTGTCTGAATCATTTGTACCATAGGTGTGAAAAGACTAAAATGCCCTTAGACGTTAATTGGTGTTGTGGGGTGTTGTTTAGTTGTTTCTTTTGGTTGTTGACTCAGTCTAGGACCACACACTCCCGTGCCTTCTCTCTCTCTCTCTCTCTCTCTCTCTCTCTCTCTCTCCTCCCTCTTTCAATTTTCTGCAACGTCGTAGAAGTCGTACGGACAACACCAAACCAACCCATTTCTGTGCAGATCGAGCTCGTGTTTAGTACCATCACCTTCATCTCGTCATCACGAACTCATCTATACCAGTTTTTAGACGTGAAACCCTCGAAAACCTAAGAACCAAGGAACTCCGATTTTGTGCACTGTTCATGTACACGTGATCATGGGGGTTTTAGAAGTTTTTAAGGTCATAGGAAGCTTTAGAATACTCTCACGAAGCTCAGAGAAGCATTTTGGAAGAAATTGGACGTCAGGAAGGCCAAGAGTGGCGAGTTGCAGGTTTGGCCGGAATTTCGTGGTTTCTCCGGCGATATTCCTTGAATTTAAGGGCTTCAAAGTGGCAAGGTTTTGTTCTACTCGTTGTAAGCTTCATTGTGGTACCAATTTCATGGAATTTGGTTGAGAAATGAAGACGATATGAAGTTTTGAAAATTTTCCAGTTTTCCACGAGAATTAGAGTTGCAGACGGCGACGCTGACGACAATGGACGGCGGCGGCCAGTGAGACTCACCGGAGAAGACAAGGAAATATTTCGTTAAGTTAACGGTATATTCTTAACGGCGTCAGGTTAGTTTTAACGGAATCTGTTAGGGTTTAACGGAATATTCCCTAACGGCGGTTAGAGAATCCGTTAGTTTTGGCCACGCGTAGGGCCGTGCCCTCGCAGTCGCGTGGCGGCGCATGGAGCCTCGAAAAATTATTTTAAAAATATGGGGATGTTCGTGAGGTTGAGTAGCTCACGTTGATGTATTCACACACCCCGTTTGAGCATTGTATGAGAAGTTATTACATACTTTTGGTTATGTGCTTTAAATTGACGTTTTTATAGTTGTTTCACATATAGGTGAGACCTATCCTGAGGACAAGCGCAGTCACTCGAGGCAAGGGGGTTACGACCCTTCCACATATCAGTGAGTGGGCTTTTGATTTTTCGTATATACCCATATACTTATGGTTTTTCCCAGAAAATGAAATGGAATGTTTATATGTTTTAAATCTCATGCATTGCGTTTGCCTATTTATTTATGCATTAGTAGTTGCATATATTTATGATTAGTGTTGCGGACGCACAGGTAAGTGTCATGTAAGTTTATGGTTTATAATTGTGAATGAGTGGTTATGTGAGAGGCATAGAGAGCTCATAACCTACACCCTCGATGTTAGTGCTCCCGCCCAGAGTAGGGCACAGTCCTTCACGTGATGTTCACCTCCCACACCACACGCTCATCTTGGATCCAAGTTAGGTGCACAGTCTGTCGTACAGACCACTATAGATGGTTCCGGCTCGTAGGTAACCTGCGATTATTCGCCCAGTCTTCACGTGATTGTAGCACTTGAGCGTATTTATTTACACCCAGTCCTGTCGTACAGACCACTTTAGGTGGTTCCAACTCGTGTGCAGGTATAGTTAGTGAGTTGAGGATTTGAGCTCTAGATTCAGACGTACATGTCACGTTAGGTGACTTCGGCTGACATATTACTTGCATTGATTAACATTACCTGGGTTACTTACATTTTATGTGGAGGCATTCGACATGGCATATTTCTGAATATGTTTTCGATATATGTGTATATTCTATTTTTTGGGAAACTATACAGGTTTTACGGCGAGGGGTTAGAACTTTTGATAATGAAATGAGTTTGAAAAGCTTTGTTTTTGCCCACTCACACATTTTGTTTTGCACCCCTCCAGGTTCTAGTTTAGTTTGCTCTTTTGATGGCTTACGAGAAATCCACGGCATATCTGACAGATTATCACAAATGTAGGACCACCTCTGGGTGTGTTTAGTTAGTGTTTGTTCCTCTGGACTGCAATAGGCTTTCTGTGCTCTGAATATTGTTTTTTCACACTTACACTTGTACGTTAACTACATTGTTTTGTAGTTTGGTTTTTATTTATTCGTACTTTTATTACTATCTTTTGCTTCCGCACTGTGCACATGGCTACGTCACCCTCACGTGACGGCCAGCACGCCTCGACTCCGATTGGGGTGTGTCACATTGAGTTGAATAATAACACATAATCAATTACAAAGATTAAACATAGTGTGTAAGAAGCTAAAAATAATTTGTGAAATCACTATCTCATAAGTAAACATGTTATTTTGTCTCTTCATTTATCAACCAAAAAAGAAGAATTCAATTGCAAACTCTGTTAACTTTGAAGAGAAATACTAACACTAGGAACTAATTAGTTACTATAGCTACGTTGTTAAGCCAACTTTCAATTTCTTTTTTTCTGTTTGTAGTTAATGTTCTTATGGGGATGGAGTTGTTCTACTTATATTAAGATAACACTACCAACTTTCATATTTCTCACGTCACTCCGAAAGCAATAAAAGAAGGTTTTGCCTACTCCTTCATGAAATTGGACAGGTCAATGCCATATCATTTCAATGATGTTGCGTATGAAAGATCCGTTTTACTATGTTGGTTTTAAAATGTGCTAGTTAGGCGGCCCGCACGGGTTTAGTGCCTAGGCATTTAGGCGTTTAGGCACGAGCTAGGGATTTTTTCAATTTTAATTAAATTTATTATATAACATGTACATAAACGTCTACATATACTTAAAAAATACATAACTATATTAGCATAAATAGATTGACAAATAGATTATAAAGTATTATAAGATGTTGAAAACATGGGGAACAAACATATAATGCGTGTTCATCAAAGTATTCATCAAGTCTTTTACAATTAATTTATAAAAAAAAAAACACAAATAAAGTTACATATTTTCTGTCTAAGTAAGAGTTGCAACTTAGGTGGGTGCCTAGACATATTAATTTTCAAACGCTTAGAGATTAGTCGAGCGGTTGCCATCCATTGAGCGTCTAGGTGAGAATTTTTAGAATACTACCCATTTATATTTTGATGTTTATATCGCATTTAGCATTCTACCCGTCTACTTATGATGTTGGTTGCGGTCAACGAACTTCTTACGGTGGTTTTGGGTTCAAGGCATTGCGCGCTCTATGTCTTTTCAACTAGGGCCAACCTTAAGAATTTGGGGGCCTAGGCGAGCTTTTGAAGTGAGGCTCTAAAGTTCTCTGATCCCTGGTTCATTGTCATTGACATGTATAAAAAAAGAATTCGCTAAATAAATAAAAAAATTCTATTTCTACATCAAATATCATTAAAAATTAATATCAAAAGAAGATAAATATACAAACACTACTTAAACATTACATATTTCATGTTTTTAGACGCAAATGTACTAAGGGCTCGTTTAAATGTGCTTTTAAAATAACTGAAAGTACTTTTAGAGAAAATGTTTTTAGAAGCACTTTAAGTGCTTTCAGTCATTTTAAAAGTATATCCAAACGAGCTCTAAATGTTTGTAGTCAATAGTCTAAAATTGAGAGTGAAGAACAATAAAACTTGATTGACGAGTATAATAAATTCCACAACGCCAATTGTTCATCTTGTGTTTTTATCTAAAATCAACATCACACTACCGAATCAAATATTAAAATAATTCATTGAATAAAAAATTATT